GGCTAAGGACAGAGCCTTGTGGTAGACCTTGATGCACTACTCTCGGACCAATCAATATATCATTACATCGAATGAATACCTGTCTATTAAGAAATAAGTTTACTAACACATATGAACACAAAGGTGGAATACCTATGTGGTTTAGTTTTTCGAATAATAGATTTAAATTGACGCTATCATAAGCTCCTGAAATATCAAGAAATATGGCAGATAGATAATTATTATTTGAGTAGAATAACTGAATATCAGTCGTTAATTGATACACACAATCGATAGTCCCTTTATTTCTACGAAAGCCACTGGGAAAATATTTTTGTTTTCACACCACCATTCTAATCTGATTTTTATAATTCGTTCAAATGTATTAAGCAAACAAGACATAAGAGATATAGGTATGTCTTAGGGCAGTACGCTGATTTATTTTGGGTATAGGAATAACCAAGCATTGTTTAAGAGAATCACAGTTGTCTCCTTTAAGTAAAATATTGTTGTATATTAACAATAATTAACTTAATCAAATATATAAATAAAAAATAATAATAAGAAGAAATTTAATTGTTTATTGATCTACCAATACACAAATAGTAACTTAAAAATATACATTTTGAGTGATAATATTTATAACTTTCTTTAAATTTCGTTATACAAACTTGAGAATAAGTTTTACTGTTGTTGCCTAGATGCACACAATCTTATACGTTTTACATTTGTTTTATATGTTTTTATTTAAACTTATTTAAACCTAAAATACATTTACCAACTACTGCAACACAAAACTTTAGGATTCATGAATAAAATCATATAATTCCCAACTGAATATCAGTTTTTATCCTTGAGCTACATGGCATTATGATAAACCGATAAAAATTCATTGCCTTGGGTGAAATTCTTATCGTGTATTGGAATTGTATGAGGTTAGTGTTTAGATGCGTATTATGATCGTACTTTTTATGACTTTCTGTGTGGGAAGCAATATATCACTAATGCAATTGTTATCATTGATAAATTTAATTAATTGTTTTAACAACAAATATACAATGCTTTCTTTACAAGTATATATTTAAAACACATTAAAAACATAAATTTCGACAGATATTGCGTAATAAATTAGAGCCAGGATTATTCTAGATAGATATATTATTATTATAGGAAATGCAGGCAATATTTCTATTGAATTGTGCTTCAAGCTGTTCCTGAACCAACTAACTTTCTTCCTACAGCATAATCGACACATTATCTTTTACCTTTCTACAAAGTTTTTGGATGATTTTTTTCTGGTTGATAACTTCTCAGTGTTAATTACTTATTTGTTAAAGCTTTGCTTCCTAAAGTAATCAGTAATCAGTAAATATAAGATCATATGAATAACAGTCTTATGTAAAATAAAGAATTTAACCCAGATAATATTTTAGTATTAACTAAAATATCAGATCATATAAAAATGATATTAAAGATGCAATTGTTTCCAGAAGAAATGTTTCTCGAAAATGCTGGACCCATTTTATTCAAGGACATATCCCAGACTATGTGTCATTACTAAACCACTATAAAATGAATAGCCTTTTAGTAATAAGACTCACCAAGCTGGAGAAATATTATTTTTAAAAATAAAAAAAGTTGGTAAGCTCATCATGGCAAAGTAGATCTAGTTGGAGACTATTAAAAAATCCTATTATTGACCTCATTGTAGAACTGTTTCCCAAAGTCTGTACAAACTAAGCGGCCTCTTAATTCTTAAAAAATGGAAGCATCCGAAAGGAAGAAAAAATAAAATCTCATAATGAGAGAAAATGAATCCAGCCGAAGGTTTTAATTACGCCGAACTTGGATCTGCCGTTCACATTCTATTAAAAAACAAAATCCTCACTTAAGATAACAGAGTTAGGAGTGTTATTAGAATTTATATGTATGATAGCTTTAAACACTGCATAGAGTTCAGCGGAGAAAATTGAAAAGAAGGTTGGGAGACGAAATTGATATGTATAGTTTGGAGTAACGAATGCAGCATCTACTCGTTTATCACACTTAGATGCATCTGTAAATATTTTATAGCAATGTTCGTAATGCTGACGGAGAATTAGATCTAGATTGGGAAGTCGATGGAAAAATCCATCTATATTCCATTGCAGTAGTTAAGTGAATTATATTATATAATAAAAAATATGAATTTACGGGTTATCCTGAGATGACTCGCCCTCGGATTCAGAGATATCGTTACGAAAGTGTTGGAGGATTTTCTTTCTTAAAAAGGTGATATGACGTTTGGTTGATCTATCTTTTAATTGTGGATGAACTTTAGCTCTCATACGAACTAATCCCACGAGGTCAGAAGTAAACTCTTGAATTATGTTAGAAGGATCCTGCACGCCGCTAACATTGCTTAGAAGTAGATTTAATTGGTCAAAATTGAGGACAAATGTGGGTAGATGATTTTGGATAAAATCTTTGGCAGGCTCAAGGTCATATGATTTTGTTGATTTTATGCATGTATGCTCCTCATTGCTTTTAACCTTCTTGACTCTAGGTTTGGATGTAGGTACAGCAAATGATTTTTTTGTTGTTTCAGAAGTTGTTTCTGGAGACGTAAGAACATCATTGATACTACGTTTCGGCTGGAGATCGATATTAATTACTTTGCAGCTTTCCATGGTGTTAACTTCTTCTTGACCATTAGCAATGTTAGGATGGCTCAGATTGTTTGCTAATTTTCCTTGGACGGACATTTGTTCGTTTGATATGGATGTTGCTGCAGGTTGAGGCATGATGTCAGGGGAGGAAGAAGTAGCAGATTGACTTTTAATATAATCAATTAAGTTTGTTGTTGATTCTATTTTATCAGGACAGTTGGTAGCGACATGACCAGACTTTTTGCAGTTATAACAGGCCATAGTTTCTTGAGATAAGAATATTCGATATGTTGTATTATCGAAGTCTAAGGTGAATGAGTCGGGTAAGGAGATATTATGGGGACTGACGTATATTTGTCTTCTGAAACTTAAAATATGATTATATTCGGAAAGAGTGGAACTGATTTTTAGAAAAGTGACAGAAGAGACCATATTAAGTCCAATACTTTGTAGATATTCAACTAACAGACTGTGTGGTATTGTTGGACATAAGTTTGAAAAAACAATACGTGTTGCTGGTGAGATTATTTTTCTAGCTTATACAATATTGTTCTGGATTTCTATTTGTCCATAATTTTGCATGAATTCGTCCACGACTTGTTTGTTTGCAAGGTACATGTAAATCCGATTATTTGATAGTCGGGAGGAAAATATAATATTTTTGGGACAAATTAGGTTACCCAAAGGAATTAAGTAATCTTGCAGTCGCGTATTTTCTAAAGCGCTGAAGACAATTGCTTGATGTTTTGAGGGAAATTGTGTAGAAGCTGCTGATGAATAGATTTTATTGGTATTTGTCTGTGATTGCAATACATGTGGTGTGTTAGAGAGACTCTGAATATTAGGTTCCATTTTTGATTTTAACACGGGACATGTGTTTAAAAATAATACGGACCTGACTAGTAATCAAACAGGTAATAAAACTGGAATAATATTTCTTGAGTCGTATCTTACTGATAATTGTTAAATTACAAATCAACAAAAAAACTGGTTGATCACGTTATATTAATGAAAACTAATATGATGTGTTCACTTACTGATATTTCATGTTATCGTCACTTAACGATCTATAAATAAACTGTTATAATTACTGCATAAAATTTGCAAATTTGTTGAGACCAAAACAAACACGCCTTTCGGTATCTCATTCGGGGCCGAACTCGCAGTATAATTATTGTACTTAACCTTTACAACATCTACACTAACTGCCAACTCATACCGGTAAATTCTAGCACTTTTATGAATGCGGAAAACACAGATAATGTTACGCAGGCAAACACTTTTGACGAAATGTAAACAACACTAACTGAATCCTGAAAAATAACAACCTAATACCAAATTAACAACAACAACCTTTCTACATCTTCGTAATAGAAAGGCATCCAGAAAACTTAACATTTAATGACAAAAAAAAAGTATTTTATTACTGTGTGTCCTCTAAACACCTTAGCTTTACCCGTTCTCATTCAAATAACGTTTGAAATTAAAATGCAACATACAACCATAAGCAATATTCTCCGAAAACATATTAACTAAAGCATATCCATTGCTTATCTGTATCATATTGTTGTTATTGCACAATTCTCATATCAGAAAAGAAATTGTCAGAGATGTGTAATGAAAGAAACAAATTGAGAAACTTCGACATCTACTTCATAATCACCAGCATACAGTACGAAGACTAAAATTAAGGAAAGCCTTCTGGCAAGATCAATCTATCTACAAGATTTATCGGAAATAACTCGTTTTAGTTAATGGAAAGAAACTATTTCTTAATATCTAGAGCCTCGCGTAGAACTCTTATGTCGTAGCGACCTTCCCTGTTCTATGTTGAAATCTTTACATCGCCTGTGAGAGTGATGTGTGACTCTGATTGTCCAAATTTACAACCAATATGGAGAAGAGGGGACTTCAAAGTGCTGACTCAGATATTCAATAAAAATGTAGCGCACTACTAAATCTAGCTTATCTACGTATCTGCCCTATGTTATAAAACCCTGCATAAAGCTAAACCCTATGGATGCAAATGACATTGCCATCCATATTGTTTTTTTTTGGATAGACAAGATTTGATTTAATATAAATAAACACATAATGTAAAGTCAACCAGAAACGAACAAAAGAAATAAACATAGAGAGCTAGATGCATCACGAAAAGGATTAATTGCACATCTAAAAAATATTTATGTTATATATATATATATATATATATATATATATATATTATATATATATATATATATATATATGTATATAATATATATACGTTATGGTTGTCTGATATGTCAGGGGTCAATAAAAAGGAAGCGAGCCAATGATAAGGGACTTGCATCGACTCAAAGTCAGCAATCCTGAATATTTCAGTTGTGTATTTTGCATTTAGAAGATAAGAACATTATCTGCGACATGTGAAATTAAATATGGCTAAATGTTATATTTTTTTGATACTTTTACCTTTTTATGTATTAAAAGTAGCGACCTCAAATTATACGTAAGACCTATAAAGTTATTTGTTTGTTTATTTTTTACCTAATCGCGTGGTGTTTTAGTGAGAACCAGTTTGCTTCAAAAAATGGTGGGTTCATTTTTTCCATGCCGCGTGTGGTTATTTCTGGAAGGAATCATACAGTATGTATTTCATTGCATGATATTATCGTTCCTTCGAAATGTTCTGTAGAAGTAAAGCAAAAAACTGAATATAATTCAATTACAAGCGTACTAAACTCAGGTATATTAAATTTTTATTATTATTTATTTATAAAATATATTATTAAATGAATAGTATACATGCAAAAGTCAAATTCCCCACTTATTAAAATTTTAGAGGTAATGAAAAAAAACGTCTACAAACATTATTATGAAGTCAACTATACAAAAATGTTTGTGTTTACGTTTAGAAAGTAACTTAATAACAGATTTTATAAAGATATGGTAGGAAATACTCCGCTGAATACAAAAAAAAATTACTTATTAAAATTACTATTACTACATATTAATTTGGATAATAGGGTAACGGGTAGGGTGATTGGCCACTTAAGGAATTGCCAATTGAATTAAAATTGTAAATTCTTCTTCTTAGGGTGCCTGTCCGTTCCGAACATTGGCGATCATTTTGGCTATGATGATTTTGTTGTTTGCTATACAAAATAGCTGTGTTGAGGTCTTTCTATACCATGCTCTCAGGTTAGCAAGCCAGGATATTCTTCTTCGTCCTGGGGCTCTTTTTCCTTCAATTTTACCCTGCAAAATGCATTGGAGTAGCTCGTATCTGTCTTGATTTCTCATAATATGTCCCAAGTATTCCAGCTTACGGCTCTTTACAATATTGACCAAATCCGCGGTTGTGTTCGTCCTCCACAGTACTTCTTCATTGGTGACTTTGTCTGTCCATGGTATCTTCAGGATTCTTCTGTATAACCATAATTCAAATGCCTGAAGTTTTGATAGAGTTTCCGCCTGCAATGTCCACGTTTCTACTCCATACAGAAACACTGAGTATACGTAACATTTAAGGAGCCTTATTTTTGGGTTAGGTCATGGCTTTTGAACACATAGGTCATAGCCAAGAATGTACTTTTGGCCTTTCCGATGCGACATTTAATCTCTTGGGTATTGTCCCACGACTCATTGATTATAGTTCCCAAGTAATTGTATTGTGAGACACGTTCAACTCTCATTTGGTTCACATACAGATTTGCTCCAGTTAAGTTTTGCTTGCTGATGATCATTAGCTTGGTTTTGCTGGTGTTTATATCCAGTCCATAGGTTCTACTTGTTTATGTTATTTTGTTCATTAAGTTTTGCAGCCCTTCTATGGTATTGAAAAACACTATTGTATCATCTGCATACCGCAGGTTATTAAGCTTGAGACTCCATTTATTGAGATGCCGTCATCAATATCTTTTAGGGCTTCTTCAAAAATGTGCTCCGAGTACAGATTGAATATCAGTGGTGAAATTATGCACCCCTGTCTGACACTTAAGATTTTGACCTGTTCTGTATATTCTCCATCTATTCGGAGTACCGCTGATTGATTCCAATACAGATATACAGATACCAATTTACAATATAAAATTGTAAATTGGTATCTTTTAAAGTGAAATATTTTGTAAGGGTTTTTTAATATTAATGAAGTATCAAATTTCATAAAGACTCAGGTTATTTTGATTAGAAATAATAATGTATATTAAAAATAAACACAAATTTAAAAATGTACAGAACTACACAGTTTTTGGCCATACAAACATAGTTCTTGGCATATAGAATTACAGTCATTGGCCATTCATAAAATTCCTAATTTTCTTTTTTTGTTCGTGGAGGTAAGGCACACAAAACTATTCAAGTTTTCAATTTCTTGTTGTTTCTTTGCACAAGTACCAATATGGTAGCCTTTAACACAAAATAGACATTTTATTTCAACTTTTGATTTAGATATACTATAGGAACAATAATAACACAATCCTGTATATAAAAGGTTATTTACAGTTGAGTTGGTGTCGTCTGATTGTTTCACCGTTAGATCTGGGGCAATTTGTATTTTTTCATGTTATGGATATCCCTCAAATTCAAAAAATAACTTTCTTTTAGCCGACTCACCAGCACGTTTTTCTTTGCTGGTTTCCAAATTTGTATATTTGCTTTGGGATGTATTTCTTCAAATTTGATGAATTTATATTGTTGTAGATATTAAAAAATATGTTATCAATTGTGGGTAGATTAACGTAGGAATATTGTGGGAATCAGGAAATTGGATTTGGGACAATTCTTGTTTTTCTTTGAGGACAACAACATCTAGTATATGTACTCTAACTCAACTTTTCAAAGTAGTGCTTTTAATTGTATGATCAATAAGTGTGTCTTCTTTTAAAACATTTGTATCTGCAATATCAACTGTATTTACTGTAACATTTTCTTTATTCTTCACAACAGTTTGACATTTTTTGCTCCCGGATTTGGCTCTTGTGACCATCTTGTGGTTTTTACTTTCATCTTGAGATCCCTGTTTTTTTTTACCTTTATTGTTTGCTTTTTCGTCAATCCGCTTTTGTTTTTACTCTAATTTTATTTTTTTTTTGTGCTTTTTCTTCAATTTTACCCCTCTCTACATTTTGACGATGACGACGAAGAAGTGAGCACAAAAGGCAACCTTTCTGTTTGCTTTTTGCTCTTTTTTTTGAATTTTGCCCAAAAAAAGAATTTGTTGATTGAATCGTCAATTTCTTTAGATAATGAGTTGTCTTGATTAACTAAAGGCAGATTATTGGATGTCGATTGAATATCTTCTACCATTGTATATTCTGTGACATCTTTTATATTATATGTAATATCAACGTTTTCTGGAAGTTGAATTGGAAAATCCGATAGTAGATTTTCTTCTATAATAACAGAAATATCTTGTAAGTTACATATGATTTCATTGACACCTACATGGTTAAGTGTAATATCTATAGATATATGGGTTTCTGTGATAATGGAGGTATTTGTATATCATTTGTGATTCCACCATGGTATTTTGAATTAAATTAAATATATTAAAGAGCAATTTTGAATCTCCGCTTAGTTCTTCGCTATTATCAAAAATTTGAAATCCTAATATTTTTGCGGGCCAACTGTGTCTACAAAATCTTCATATGTTATTGATTTTGTCATAGAAGTAGTGTGGTTAATACCTTTATGCAGGTCTTTGATCTTTCTGAAATAGTATATTGCTTCAGACTTTCATGTATACAATTCAGATGCTTTAAAGCCATTAATTATAAAATTTGATTTTAATTGACTAATGGCTGTGTTTACTACCAATGTAAAATTCTCTTTGGTAACTACTGAGTTCGGGTTTTCCTGAGTCCAAACTTTAATACTGCCCGGTTCTAATTTGCCTTTCATGGTTTAAATGTAGCAATATCTGCAGGTTGTATAATTCTGGTTGCATTGGGATATAAAGCCACTAAAATAATATATAACTGGTTTGAATGGTTAAGTGAGTTTTATGTCAATTAATAAACAAAATGACTGAAAATTAATGTTTTTCGCAACTAGCTAGTTATATAAGACGTTTCCTATGTATTCATAGAAGTTTTCATTCTTCATCCATCTGGTATCGCTTTATCATATGCCCCATTCTCGTGAAACGAAATTTAAAATAGTGCTTGAAATTTGTTTATAAGGGTAAATAATCATTGGTGCTGTGATTTCTCCAGATGCTGCAAAGATAAACATAACCGTCGAATTAACTTTAGAGTGATGCTCTATCTAATATACATTTTTGCTTTCCTTTACAGCCAACACTCTTTAATTTTTGGAGCACAAGAGTAAGCAGGTTTTTTAGTCATTTAAAATACGTAAAGGTCTTGAAAAATGTCAATGTAACCTTTACGATGCAAGTATTCTTGAACACAGGTGAACCAGTTTTTACATCTTTTTCAGACCGAACTGAACGTGTTGCCGTCACTGCTTCTAGAGTTCTCTCACTTAAATCTGGGTGTCGCTTTAAAAGGATCTTTCATAACCTCTTCCGGGCCGATTGTAAGTAAAAGGATTGGCACGTAGATTTACGTCAAGAAAACCTTTAACCGAGTCTTGTATATTTCCACTCTTACTGGAAAACCTTTGTCTTGGCATGTTATGATCCAATTCTTTAAAGGATTCTCTTACTCCAAACAAAGAATAGGATTGGGACTAAGAGTAGTTTTTTCATAAAATGTTCCACTTGCTCTAAACTGCAATGTTGCTCTTGGCACATTAAATTGTTCAGCGCCTTTTCGTTGGCTCATGCCATTTTCTATGGCCTGAAAAGCAGACTAAAGATCTTTATATTGTTTGTGATACGTTTTATCTTACGTTATACGGACGTTCCAAATTTGATTCAATATGCTCTCATTAGCACTAATTTTATAACAACTAAAACAATTGTAATTTTATAAATACATTCCGGACAAAAAATATATTCGTATTACACATTACAGTTATTGGCCACCCTGTGGTTTAGTGATTGGTAGTCGGCCAACCACTGGTTATTGCCTTTAAAAATAAAAAAAAATGTTTGAAATCTCTTTTCATGGACCAAACTAGGCTAAAAAAGTCTAAATTATAATAAATATTTTAATTCGAAGCAGGTACAGTCATTGGCCAGTAGGCAATCATTATAACACGGACATATTTAAGATACAGTGCTTGGCCACTCAAATTTACCGCCAAAAATGCATCAACTTAACTAATAAAATCACTGATAATGTAAGATGCACTCCACTAAATCGCCATAAAATATTAATACACCCAGATATATAATACTATTAGCTAAGATAACTCACCTCGTGAATAGCCTTCCTTAACAAATTCTTTAAAAAACTCTCAAAACTGGATGCACATGTTAAGCTTCAAACAACACACAATATTTGAGAGAGAGTATAGCTAGACTAAACATACAGCAATGTTGCCAAATTTAAATGCAAATAAATTTATTTCGTTATAGTTTCTGAAAATCTTAATATTTCGGATTTTTGTGAAAGTGGCTAATCACTAGTGACCGGCCAACAACTGTACCCGTTACCCTATTACTTTTGGTACTAAAATTTGGATAATGTGGGGTCTGCACTATAAAAATGTGGAAACAGTTATTTTTGAAACCGATATTAATGGAAATGATGACAAAAACGTTCAAGAATACTTTACGAATATAATGTAGGTACAAAAAATTCAGTTTTTTTTTTAAACGTATTTCATTTTGCTCAA